TATAATAGGTAAGAGATAAACACTCTTACTTATTAAGGTCACGTGACTAAATATCTTAGGTAACCACACTTATAATAAGTAGGAGAAAAACTCTTGTACTTATGAAGGTTATATAACTAAATATCTTAGGTAACTACCCATATAATAAATAAGAGAAAAACTCGCTTATATATTAAGATTATATAACTAAATATCTTAGGTAACTACCCCTATAATACGTAGGAGAAACTCTTTTATTTATTAAGGTTATATAACTAGATATCTTAGATAATTACCCTTATAATAAGTAGGAGAAAAACTCTATTAATTACTAAGATTATATAACTAGATATCTTAGGTAACTACCCTTATAATAAGTAGGAGAAAAACTCTATTAATTACTAAGATTATATAACTAGATATCTTAGGTAACTACCCTTATAATAGGTAGGAGAAAAAACACTCTTACTTATTAAGGTCACGTGACTAAATATGTTAGGTAACTACCCTTATAATAGTAAAAGAAAAACTATTTTATTTATTACGGTTATATAACTAGATATCTTAGGTAACTACTCTTATAATAGGTAAGAGAAACATACTTTTACTTATTAAGGTTACGTGACTAAATATCTTAGGTAACCACCCTTATAATAGGTAGGAGACTAATACTCTTATTTATTAAGGGTATATAACTAAGTCTCTTAGGTAACTACTCTTATAAAAAGTAAAAGAAAAATACTCTTTATAATAATATAAAAGTTTCTTTTGGTACTAATAGAAAAGCACTCTTTATAATAAGTAATATAAGAACCGTTAACAGAGATACTCCTTATAATATATTTAATATAATCGCGAAATAGTTTAACTAATTAATTAGGCGTATTAGGACAAAAGTGGGGAAAACACGTTAACGTGTTACGACACGACTCGTAAAGCTAGGAGAGACGACGTTTCCCTAGGGTGACTAATCAGAAAGCAGACCCATAGCAACCCTTAGCTTACCTTTTCGCCCTACTCGGACCCACACCTACCCTTAGCTTAGCCACGGTCTTCAATATCAGTTTATCTGTAGTCTCTTATCGTATAGGTATAGACCTGTCGTATAGGCACACGGACCACGATGTGGTCTATAAGGGATCCAGGGGGGATCCACGCTATAACTAAGGGCTTCGGATATAATAGGAGCGGATACTGGAAAAGACCGGATAGGAACTAAATAATATAGTACCTATAATAGAGTCTTTACCACCTAAATTACGGGTATAAGAGACTCTGATAGATATAACTTAATATAATATATATACACGAGATTTCTGCTCTACTAAGTTAGTTATCTAAGTGCCTATTTAACGTGTGATAGTTATAAGCCCGGTTTATAACGCCTAAATAATAGATATTAATAAGGCTACCCCTATTCCACTATAAAAAGTCATCACGTTTATATAAGCACTTTAAAATAACTACTATCGACCTAATTAGAGTAATTAAGAGATTCATTAACCTACCTATTAATTAACTAACCGATAAACAATAGACTAATAAAAATATCTTCTAACGTATCTAACGCCGAATAGAAGGCGGCCGCCACTACCCTTATTAACTAAAGGGATTAGGTAGTATAGGAGCGCGCCGTCCGCGGTAAATCTACCTGCTACTAGGATAACTACCTTAATCTAAAGCTAAGCGACGAGGAGGCTAATGCCTACCTCCTCCCTATACTTATACCACCTAACGTTCGTAAGTACGAAGCCCTTGTCGTGGACCTAGACGCGGAGGAGGCCACGGCTACGGCCACCACGTCTTCCACCGTCACGCTAAAGGGCGATAAGGCCGCCGATAACACGGCCGCTGCCACGGCGGCTATTAGATACCACCACACACTTATCGGGGTGTGACTTGCGCTATTTATATAATCGGATAGAGTACTTCCGACAGATGTATCTATATCGATTTCCCCTCCTTTTACTGTATAGTTAGATATTTCCGCAGAGTATCTTTTACTCTTCTTTAATACATATATATATCGTTTGCATACCTTATATATATGCTAATAGTTATAAGCCCGGCGTTCTAATAAACGAAGCTATTCTAATAGATCCTATAGCTTTAGGGCAGTTAAAATAGCCTTAAGTCTATAGCGGTTAGCTTAGTATTATTAGCTACGTCCGCCTGCTTTATTATAACCGTTATTTCGTTATTCCGTTAATAAATCGCTTAATCCCCTCTCGTTCTATCTCGTATAATCGCTCCTTATTTAATCGGTCCGTTATAGTCGGTTTCGATAGTTTATTTCCCTATAGTCCTAGTTAGTCAGACAATGGCCTTAACTACGGCATTGCCTATAATAGGCTACACGATCCTTACCTTACTAAAAGAATAGCGCCGTTAGATCGAGGCTGTTATGCAGATAGCCTACGCTAAATAGGTCTCTAACCTTATTAATCCAGACCTTAAGGAATCTAAACGTCCTTAATAGCTCGAATCCTCGGAACCTTTAGAAGAAGGTAACGATGATAATACCTAGGATCGTAAGTTTAAGCTATAGAACGTTAAAGAGAATAAATATTAGTAATAGTAATAAGGTCTAACTGCTTTTCACAACTATATCGCGAAGATAGTTAATCCTAACCTTAAAGATTAGTACGTAGGGAAGAAGGAGGTTAAAGATATCCTAATCGCCTTAAAGGACTATCTTAAACCTACTAACACTGCCTAGAAGTCCTTAGTTAAGAAGAGATAGGATGAATGTATATAAAATATACGGAGGATACCCTATAAGCGTTAGCTTTAGGACTTTATATTGCTATACCGAGATTCAAATACCTATAGCGTTAGATCTTCTAATACTATAGAGTATTAACTCGACGCGTTTTTTAGGGCTATCGGTATTATAGGTTTAGAGTGGTTAGAGGCGCGTTTTACAGAGATTTTAAGAGAGGATAAGGAAGACTAACCTACTATCGAAGAGGTTATAAACGAATATACAGTTTGGTTACGCTATAGACATCCCTATAGGCTTAATACGAAGCCTATAGCGTTATCGTTTTATACGGCGATATTCCTAGGAAAGGATAAAGATAGTAGATAATAGCCTACTAATTAGGGAGGTTAGTAGTAATAAGGAAAAAAGGATTTTTCGGCACCTCGGGAATATATCTACGATTACGTTAAGATAGGAAGAGCTAAACGCTACTACTACCCGTGGAGTACTTACCCGAGCATTAATCTAATACGCCGCTAAAAGGGCTTTACGCCCTTAAAGGAGGTGGTGGAACGCTACGACCGCGTTATGAAGAGCTAGAGTGCTTCTAAGTAAAAGAAGTTCAGGGAGTATATTAAAAAGAATATTAATAAGGCGAAAAATAAGGTAAAAGAGTCTAAAGCTAAGTTACTAGAGAAAGATTAGTTTAAGAAAGTATCTAATTTCGTTAATAATAGAGAAGAGGATTCTGATAATAGCTTTTACGATATGTATTTTGCCTTTAATTTTATAGGTGAAGAGGTGGATTTATTAACCTCGTAGTCGCCGTCGGTTTTCTCGCTCCTATAGACTAAATAAGTGGTTAGTAACGATCTTTTTAATTAGTTATTAATCGATTCGGGGTCCCTAAGGTATATAACTAATTAACGCTACCTACTCGAGGACTTTTAGCCTACTACTATTATTATTAGATTTTAGATAGGTGGTGGCATCTTTAATCTAGTAGAGGGGTACGGCACCCTGCGTCTTTAGGTTAAAGATATAAAAGGATATCCTTATACTCTTATGCTAAAGAATGTGGCGTTTATGGATGGATACCCTATAACGCTGCTAGTAACGCGTAGGTTATAGAAGGGTTAGAACGCTGTTTTTATAACCGGTAGAGATATCTTAGTATTGGACCGATATACCTGCCTGCTGTTAATTAACGTTAACGGCTAATATACCCTTAAACTAACTAAGGGTACGCTATAGCGCTTATAGTAGTAATAGCAGAGCTATTTTAATAGCTCGAGGGAACTAAAGGCTATAAGCGTGGCCGATGCCTATTTATAGTATAAGAGGCTAGGGCACGTAAACCCTTGAGCACTGGCGTAGTTATTAAAAAGCTGCGTGGGAGGTATCGTGGCTTTAAAAGGAAGAGCGGTACCTTTGGTGGTAGACTATAAGGCTTACGCTATTAGTAAGGTAAAAAGGATAGTATCGCGACGTCCACCTACTTATAGGCTAATAAGGCCTTTTTAGAGGATTAACGTGGATCTGTTTTCTATAGATCCTGCCGCTAACGGCGATAATACTATTACCCTGTTCTATAATCCCTGCACATATAAAAACGTGACTAGAACGATACTAGGGTATAAATATATACTATCCTTAATAGCTAACTTCGAACTCTTTTTATAGAGGTAGTATAGGCTACTTATTAGTGTGATTAGACTCGACGGAGAGAGGGCGTTATAGAAGAAGCTGGATAACTAGTCTTTAAATCGTGGTATCCTACTAGAAAGATCGGCTCCTTATATAGCCGTATAGAACGCTAACGCCGAACGGTATAAGGGTATTATCTCCGC